GTTTCCCGCTTGCTACTAAGTATGTGTGTGCACGCTTGCTGGACTGCATGTCTGTCTGAGTGCTGGTTGGCTTGAGTGTGTGTGGCCCGTAAGGGCACTTGCTCGTTCGTTGGGCCCTCAGGGCCGATACTTACCTGTGGCTTTGACATTGAGGGATTGCAGTGGGAAAAACACTCAAGTAGCGGGTAGGCCAGTACCGCACCTTGAAGGGGTAGATGTGCGGGTACTGGAGACCGAGTAGAAGAAGATAAAATTGACATTTTTAGAGGCCAGTAGTTGTAGGCTAGGTCTAGGCGGGTACCAGTCCAACCAGTCTAAGTCTACGGCCTGTACGGGCAATATCAGAGTCTGCAATGATGTTTCCCTCCGAAAGGGAGGAGGTACCAGTTGCTTGGAAGGCCGAGCGGCCTGGAAGTCACCGCCCGAAGAGGCAAGCAGGCTGCTATATGAGCCTATATCTCCCAGTCGGGCAAAGAGCCCAGCCTCATTTTGGTGTGCAAGTTTGGCGACACATTGGTTGGAGCGCTGGTTGGAGCAGCGCTAGATTGGAGCAACGCTAGATTGGAGCAGCGCTGCTGGGGAAGAAGCAAGGACTAGGAGGAGGAAGAAGGACAGGAAGGGCGAGGAGCGCCAGAGGTACTTACCTGGCTATGGTGCCAGCCATCTTCATCACCTTGGTGGGCGCTGCAGCAGGGAGACCCTAACTGGGAAGAGCTACACCAAGAAGCTTCGAGGCAGAGTTAGGCATGGCGGCCTAAGCTAGAGCAACCATAGTTGTTTTGCGTTGTCCTTTGGAAAGCAGGGCCAAGCCCAAGTAGTCCGCCATAGCGTCGGCCTGTGAAAGTGAAGAGTGAGGGAGGCGGCCACGACTATGGTGGACCTTAAGTGATACCTGCAGTAGATCAGGGAATCGGACATTGATTCTGGATCAGCCATTCAACATTGTATTATTATTTCTTGTATGGATAAGTGAGGGGGAAATAAGGAGAAGGAGAGTGTTGGGCGAAGAAGAAGAACCTTGTCATTCGTTTATGCTGGTGTACATCATCTTCTTCTTCTTTCTTACTTCTTCTTCTTCTTCTCTCCTCTCTCTCCTCTCAAGTTCATTAATTTTTTTATGCAATTGGACGACATTGTATTATCTGATGGATGTGTATCTCGAAATTGGCCAGGATCATAACATTGGTATCAGAGCGGATTCTACTTGTTGGGAGAGTTGACTTTGTTGCCCTAACCCTAACCTAAAGTGGTCGAGGGCAACACTTTGGGTTAGGGTTGGTTGGTTAAGGGAAGTGGGGCAGCGTGGCTAAGGGAAGCTGCCCCCACCTGGTTAGGTCATGAGGGGTCGACATTGAACCTAACCAGGTTGCTTGAGAGTGAGATTAGGGTGGCGAGACATTTCGAGGAGACTTCATGCGGCAATTAGAGAGAGGCGACAGTGAGAGGCACTCACACCTGGAATCTGATTCAAGGGAGACACTTGGCAGTTTAAGGCCTTCCCTCAAGTAGGCGAGCTTGAGGGTCAGCGACCACTCAGCATCTATGGGCTGCAAGTTCCTACTTCGCTCTTCAACATCGACGGGGGATCCGGCATTGCACTTTGGTGTTGGAGTCAGACCCTCCTAGGAGATAGGACACTAGTGTAGGGGTAGCGTTAGAGGGGTCAAGAGGATCACATGAGAGGGGGGTGAGTTCTATTCATCTCGAAGCTCAAGGCCACTCAGGTAAGTGTCGTTCACCTACGGGATGCCCATGTGTGTGTGCATGGTATTGATCGTCCTGCTGGGGCACTCTGGTTGCTTTCCTACTCCTCTGTGGTCTTAATTGTGTGATTGAATGCATGTGATCTACCTACTCACCTGATGGATGGAAAATGAAGTATCTTGATCTGAATGCTTAGTCTTTTTACAGTGCTTTGTCTTTCATCTCTGAACGGTTGTAGTCTGTAGGTTCTGCCGGAAGTTGAAATTTTGTTTTTCAGTGCAGTAGGAACTGAACTAAGTCCATGTGGGACTCCTCTTGGTTGGGACATGGTCACGACCTACGTGGGACCTCTAGGACCCAGTGGGACCGGACCCAAACAAGAAGAGCCCTTTGGGCCCAAATCGGTTAGGCATTAGCCCATTGTCTTCCTGACTGAGATACGGAGTTCCTTTTTTTTGGATGAGGACACCCATTGTCGAGGGGATCTCGGCTGAGACATTTTGCATGTCTTTTGGTTGCACCGTCCGTGGCTTGCCTCGCATCCTGTACACCACTCAATTCTCCATTGTTGCATTTAGTCACTCGTTGTCTGATTTGCCGTACGGTCACGGAGCCGGTCAGATTAGACTCGAGAGGACCTCGTATGCAGTCTGATCGGACTGGGTCGCTGGATCGGACCTCTCATGTGAATTTGTTTGTTGGTTTGCTGCTCTCTAAAGTCCAAATGAAATACCGCTCTGGCTAGTTCTACATTCTCTTCTCTGAGCTTTTCAATCTGTTTTTCTGAGTTCATTTTCGATGCCCGTGGAGACCCACCGCCAGAAAGAAGAGAGAGAGAGGAGAGAGAGAGAAAAGGGAGAGAGGGAAAGTGACTGTTTGGAGTGGGCAAGGATTGGGAAAAGGAGTGTTTGTCCAAGTGAAAAGGGGAGTGTACCTCTTCAGAGTCTGATCGATTATTTTGCTGATTGGCGCCTCTTTGATCCACCTGTCAACACTAACGGTCTAAAAATGGCTCAGCTAACCTCAGTGTAATGGCTGAGCCAACAATGCGGAAAAACCGTATCTACAAGCACTTCTAGATAGCGCGATCAAAAGGGAACAGGAGTCAGAGAAGGAGTCGTTGCTGAAAAGTCATGAGGCCATCTTGCAAACTGTCCCCTCGCTGACCAAAGAGCAGTGTGGGGAACAACTGCAGTCCATACTCACAGCTATCGTCCAAGTCTGAAGCCTTGAAGATCATACCACTCGAATCGTTGACGTCTTCGCAAAATTGCAAACTCTCCAGGACAATCTGACTGATATTACCTGCAAGTACCGTGATTTGATGATAGAGGTCGCTGCGCTGCGACAAGCCCAAGCGGCCCATCCTCTTCCTCTACCCCCTGGTTCCGGAGCTGCAATTGAAACTAACTCTGCCCCTCTTACCGTATTTCTTATACTTTTTCCTTGAGTGTGATGGCAACCCCCTCAGTACCTGCAACAGGTGCGGATTCCGCTGTTGCTGTAACAAGCAACGAGGCTGGAAATTTTGCAACTGCTGCAGCCCCAAGATCGGAACCAGCAGGTGCTGGTCCCAGCTACATCGGTCCCCATGTGGACCGAAAGGCAGTACAAATACCGTCTAAGTACGACGGCAAAGAAAACATCGAATCTTGGATCAGCTCCATGAGGGCATACTTTGAAGTTATGGGAACTCAACCCGAGACCCAATCTGTGATCATGGGAATGAATGCTGAGCCGGTTGTGCAGGGCTTCTTAGAAGTCCAAGCTACGCGAGTTGGGGTTCCCAAAATAGGACTAACAAGGTGGCTTAAGGCCACCCTGGTTGCGTCCCTCGAGGAACTCCTAATTGCGCAATACATGGATCCACACGCTGCAACAAAGGCAAGAAGCTAGATTGATAAAATCAAACACAGCAAGTGGACGAGCTCCATGAAAAGCCTCCAGACCTACCTCAGAAAGATGTTTGCTACAGCCGGATTAGAGTTGACTAATCTTGCTTTGATGTGGTCAAAGGCGCAGTTCCCAGTAGTCTTACTAGTCACCTAGGCAGGGACTTCATTGGGTACACTGACTGGTTCACTCTGATGAAGGACATAGTCAATCTCGAGGTTATAGACCTCGTCTCCACAACATGCGGTTCAAAGGCAGCAACCGTTTTGCTGTGCATGACCTGCTGGAGGCTGACGAGGAGGCCGATGCAGATGACCCCACTCTTGGTGACGACCAAGAACAGAACACTGATACGGTCTGTTGGTCAACCCATGAGTCTGATGTAAACCAAGAAGAAGAAAAATGCCTTTAAAAAGACTGCCAATGCAAGGGGACCAAATAGGAATGCAGGAAAGAACTATGTCAAACTTCCCAAGGGAGTCAAGATCCCAACAAAACCGGAGGATACGGCTACTAAACCGTGGGTCGATCTCCGGATCACTGAAAATGATTGGCGGGGTAGACTCAAGAAGGGGGTATGCCTGCATTGCCAGAAATCGAACCATAAGGTACAAGATTGTTATAGTCTGTAGGGAAACCAGAACCGGGCGTAGAGTCGACTTCAGCATCCTCTACAGCAAGGGAGAATGAATCTGATGCAAATCAGCAATCCTCCCTTGAAGCTCAATCATCTCCTGATGCCAAGGCTGAAGTGTGTAATGTTTTGTATGTCGAGCCTTGGGAGGAGTCTGGGACGGTCGACTTCCACTACCACTTGGACCATTGGGTTGAGATGAAACAGCAGCGTGCCCAAGGGACAGTGAAGTTGATTTTCTTCAAACTTTTCATAAAACACCACTATCTGCTTGTCTTGATTGACTGTGGTGCTATGACTAACTTTATGTCACCTTATGGGATACGCAAGGTGGGCTTGGGAATGAAGCAAGTGACCTTGCACAACCCTTGTCGGACCCAAGTTGGCAACAAAGAAGTCTCTTCTACGCATGCAGTCAAAGGTGTGTGCACTACCTTTGACAAGGACAAAACTGTCACCCACGCGTTGAACTCCTATATCCTTGACAAGTGCCCCTTCGACGTTGTTCTTGGCTTGGGCGAGCTGCAGTCCCAATGCGAATGGACCAAGTGGAAGGAGTCACTTTTCATGGTCAAAGATGCTCAAGGGAACGAGTTTCCTGTACTCTTGGATGAGAAGCACGAGTTCCCAATGACTTTTCTGAATGCTATGAAGTTCTGCAAGAAACACAAGGATGATGAACAGTTGTATGTTGCCTTTGTTCGTCCCACCCATGTGCCATCTACTTTTGCGGTTAATACCACAACTACCTCATCTAGTGACCCTACTTCTAGTACTACTACTTCTAGCACCTCTACTTCTCTACCTTCTAATAGTGCAAATGATCCTATTTCGGATTCGGTTGCCTCTTGGCTCGTTATGCCATTTGGCCTTACGAATGCCTCGGCCACTTTCCAAGCGGCTATGACAATGGAGTTCCGAAACATGCTGGATCGATATGTACTTATCTACCTCGACGACATCCTGGTGTACAGCCGGAGTTTGGACAAGCATGTGGAACACCTGCGCACCATTTTGGAGCGGCTACGACAAGCCAAGTACAAAGCCAACCGTTACAAGTGCGAATTCGCGCGGCAGGAGCTGGAGTACTTGGGACACTATGTGACGCCGCAAGGCATCCGTCCGCTTGCGGACAAGATCGAGGCCCTACGAGTATGGCCCGAGCCCACCAACACCACGAAYRTKYGYTCATTCATGGGRTTGGCGGGCTACTATCARCGATTCATCACCGRATACTCCAGGATTGCTGCACCTATGACGAGGTTACAGTCGCCAAAGGTGCCATTCGTATTCGATGACGACGCACGCCGGTCATTCCAAGCACTTAAGACGGCTATGCTCATGGCACCYGTCCTTAGCATCTATGACCCCACCTTGCCGACGAGAGTGACTACGGACGCTTCCGGCTATGGCATTGGGGCAGTCTTGGAACAGCACGACGGCGACGACTGGCACCCTGTGGAGTATTTCAGCCACAAAGTGTCTCCCATCAACTCGCTTGATGATGCAAGGAAGACGGAGCTACTCGCGTTCGTCATGGCTCTCAAGCAATGGCGGCACTTCCTCCTTGGGCGTCGTAGGTTCACATGGGTTACGGACAACAATCCATTGACCTACTACAAGACGCAGGATACGGTGAGCAGCACGATTGGACGATGGATGTACTTCATCGACCAATTTGACTTCACACCGAAACATCTTCCCGGCCTCTCCAATCGCGCAGCAGATGCACTCTCGTGAAGACCCGATCTTTGCGCTATGACACATCATGCCTTCGCATTCGACGAGGAGCTTCAACGACACTTCATTTGGGCATACCAGTCTGATCCGGACTTCGCCACGCTATATGCACAGCTATCTTCGGATCACCCGCCGGCCAGCCATTACCGCATTGCCGACGGGTACTTGCTCCTCCACTCGAGAGGCAAGGATTTACTGTGTGTCCCACGCAACCGTCGTCTTCGGACTCGGCTCCTCGGCGAGTATCATGATTCGCGACTCGCCGGCCATTTCGGAGTCAACCGCACTATTGAACGGCTTCGACAGCGATTCCGATGGCCTAACCTCATTACCGATGTCACTCGGTATTGCGACTCGTGCGAAGTTTGCCGACGCAGCAAACCCCGCAACCGCAATCCCTATGGCGAGTTACACCCGATGCCTATTCCACGGGAACCCGGTCTCTCCATTGCTATGGACGTCACCGGTCCGTTTCCTCGCGACCGGCTCGAGCACGACGGCATCCTCACGGTTGTGGACCGATTGAGTAAGTACGTGTGTTTTCTCCCTTGCAAGTACTACTCCATGGCTCCCGAGCTGGCACGCCTCTTGCACACTGGTTGGATTTGTGGCCACGGTGTACCAGAAGACATAGTCAGAGACCGCGACACTCGTTTCATGTCAGCATTTTGGACTGCGCTCATGCAGGAGTCCGGCACGACGATGAAACCAAGTTCGGCTCGACATCCACAGACGGACGGGCAGACGGAGCGGGCACATTAAACCGCTCAAATGATGCTTCGTACGCTCATCCGTCCGGACCAGAAAGATTGGGTTGACCGCCTCCCCGACATCGAGTTCGCCTACAACAGTGCACCAGGCGATCGGCGTGACTCCATTCAAGTTGCACCACGGTGGACGGAAAGGCCGTATCTTCGCCGACCTTCTCCTCCCTCGACCAGCCGACATTGACGCCGCTTGCTCCCCCGCCTCCGTTCGGAAGTACAGGGAATTGCTGACTCAAGCCCGCGCGAACATGCAAAAGGCTCAAGTCCGCATGCAGCAGCAAGCCAACAGGTGTCGCGTGCCATGTCCTATCCGTGCCGGTAATCTGGTTTGGGTCTCCACGGAAGAGTTTGCACTGGAACAGGATGTTTCACGCAAACTGCTTTCCAAGTGGTTTGGACCATGGTCTGTGACAGCAGCCGCGGGTGATGAGCCCGATGGCCCTTCATTTGTGATCAACATTCCAGAGCATCTGACGGTCCATCCAGTCTTCCACGCCTCGAAGCTGGCAACATACACGCCAGCCAAGAGCGACGACCTTCCGGGCCGACGATCGCAGGACCCTCCTTCTATGGATGGTCATCAGGAAGTTGACCGCGTCATCACTGATCGCAAGTACGGCAGCAAGCCGCGGCAGTACAAAGTCACATTCAAAGCATGCGATCGCGACAACACTCGGTAGATTTCAGGCGCAGATTTGAAAGCATCCGCACCGCTGATCTACGCGCATTATGAAAAGCGGAGGTTAGCTCAGGAAGCTTCACGACCAGCCCCCCCCACCCGGACTGTGGTCCCTCCCTCAGACAGACAGCTTCGCCCTCGCAGGTAAGCTCGGTCTTTCAAG